ACTGGTCCTGTCTCATGGATAAGATTGCCCTGTAGAGTTCAGGTCCGAAAGTTCTCTTAGGGCTTAATTATCCTATGGCAACGATTCTAGCCTAGGGGGATGCACGTCTCTGAGAGGGCTTCACTACAGTTGCTCCTACAGGACACCCTCTGTGCTCTGCCCCCGGCTGGAGTTCTGCCTCTACCACTTCTCTAAGTAGCTTTCCCTGCCAACGAAAGTGTCCATGGTAGTTGAGGGGTCTCCTCCTGCTGAGATTCCAAAGGTTCACAGTGAATTTGGGTTGCTCCTTGCCTTGGGTTGCCTGTTAAGCACATCCTCTTTGTCGGAGTCATTGGCGGCCAGGAACACGTTCCAGTGTGCAGTAGCCCCGGGAAGTGTTCCTAGCTTCCTCCCCCTCCGGCCCAGCCTCTGTTTTTTCCCTCCATCTGTTCTGCCTCCACCTAAAGCTGCAGGATAAGAACATGGCAGCACTGGGATATGAACTCATTTTTGCCTAGCTCCAAAGGCCTTGCTCATTCATGCAGACTCTCAGAAATGAAAAATAATTCCCTTCATCTTCGTTAAATCACATGTTCCTACAGACAAATTATCCAAAGCTTTTATGAAACCTATGTGATGCTGTAATACAATCGATTACTACAGTATTTATGGAATATACCATTCATAGCTTTAGACACAATTATATATCAAGCTCTCTTGAATTCTCTCTCTTTCTAAAACCTATGGATTTGAAGCCAGGATATTTTGAGAAGACCAACTGGTGTTAAAAATCTAAATAGATCAAATATTGTTTCTGTTTATATCTGTGTGACAAGTAATACCAATGTGTGTAATTACAGCGTGGAGAAACCCACGTAATTTCTCTGAGGAAAGTTTATTTCACTGGAAGTAGTCATTGCCAATAAGCAATAGAAGCCCTAACCAGTGGCTCTTATTTTGCAATTACAATTTTTCATCTTAAATTTAGTATATGTGCAGCCAAAGCAAGCACCACAGTTTCATCTTAAGGAACAACTAAGATTGTGTGTGATATAGGTGACGGCTATCACCAGATAAACATCATCAAAAAGTTTTTTTTTAATAGTGTCTTTCTGTTGTGATATTTTTAGTACCTTTCTTCCTTTCCTACTCCCTCCTCCTCTTCCACAAATATATGTTGAGTATCAATTCTGTGATGCTTGAGGCATTAGGCACTCCAATAAGTAATCCTTTAAGT